TTATTTATATTTTGTTATTTTATTTTATTTTATTATTTTTTTTTTAAGTAGGCTCCATGCCCAATGTGGGGCTTGAATTCACAGCCCTGAGATCAAGAGTCACATGCTCTACTGACTGAGCCAGCCAGGCACCCCTGTTTTCTTCCCTTTTAAAAAAACGAGTTTGAGTACCTATGTGTGCATAGGTACACATGCATTAGAAAAATCGTAACATAATCCTTCCTTTCTGTTTTATCTGTAGGCTGTCCTGTGAACTGATACAGTACCAATGTGATCGGATGGGAAGGGCGGTGAATTGGGGATCAATACTAGTCCCGACTCAAGTCACACACTCTAAGCTAGGGAATATATTTAATGACTTTGGATTTCAGTTTCTACCTTCATAAAACAAGGGATCGCATTAGGCACTCTTTCAGCCCTACCATTGTGGCTTAAGGCTGTAAATGTCCATTTCCTTGCGTTTCCTCTGGGACCAGTCTACCTTTCTGTGTTCTTCGATGCCGAGGGAGCACTTTGCCTTCAGTGGACAAGTTTCCAAGGTTCCAGAAACCAGGAGTCATCCAGTGAAGCGGAAACAGCAGACCACTTCTGGATTTGCCCCACTGTGCTTTCAGAAGGGCCGTTTCTAGTCAGAGGATTTCAGATTACTAGAAAACTGCGGTGGTGCAGCGGTTACATTTTGCTTAGACTGAAATCACAACCCGAATGCACTTAATGATACACATATGTACTGTAATTTGTAAACATAGCTCAAAACCCTGTATCTTCGTTGGTTCCCTTGTGGTTGGCCATTCAGACCTCATTTCTACTTGACAGGGGTTTATTTTAAGATTGCTTTTTAGAGCGGTTGTTTAACATTCAAGTGATCTATTACTGCCAAGTCCTTGGCTAGACCCGCTGTAAATGAGCTGCCCGTTAAGTAGAAAACCGAATAGAAATTTAGCTTTCCAGCCCAACTTAGCAAAATCAGTGTAAGCTGAATTTTCTTATCTTCACATGTAGCTTTTCAGCCTGATTTCTTTCTTGAATATTCACAAAGTGTGTAGGCGAATGAAATTCTTTTAGTTACTCTTGATACCGTTGCTTAGGGAGAACTGTAGACTTAACAGGCTCAGAGAGGAACACTTTACAGGAAGCTAAGTGGATTTGTTAGTAACTTAATTGTATTTCTTCAGGAAATAGGTTTGAAAAAATAAGATCTGCTTCTGTAACTGTATTTCCAGGATGTTAAATGTTCTGTGGGAAGTAAGTTCTCACTAGGCCCGTAACTGCATTATTTTTTTGACAGGCAAAATATATATTGTATCTCTTTTGGTTATTTTGTTAGAGATGGGAGTCAGCTGGGTGGAAGCTACAGATGATTTAGGTAAATAGCCGCACACCGTGCCTTAGATGATAGTTTCTCCATCATCCTAACGCTTACCTGTGGCTTCCTCCTTTCCAGATTGTCACAGCTATAATCAGAACCTTCTTTCCTATTTAATAACAAATACAGCTGCTGTCAATTTTGTAACTCAGGTTTTCAGCCCTTCCCTTTTGTGTTCCAGATGCTCCATACTTGCCTGCAGTGCTTACGTGGCTCTGGCTTTAGGTGATAACCTTATGGCTTTGAATCACGCAGATAAACTTCTTCAGCAGCCCAAGCTGTCAGGATCCCTTAAGTAAGTGTGGCTTGCCCTGTGCGTCCGGGTTTGTTTTGTGTGGAGGTTTTCATTAGTTTTTGGTGCATATTGCTGCTTTTTGCCCCCTCGGTGGGATATATGTTATCTAGACAAGGCAACTGATTGAAGCATTAATTTGGTAATTCTGCGTTAGGCTCTTTTCCCTTGTACCTCAAGGATTAACAGCGATAGCGTTTGCTGGACAGAGCGTCAGGAAGTGGGAACTGCACAGTGTCTCCTGTCCGCTGCTGGGCCTGTCTGGAGCGCGTGTCCACATATTGGTCCCCAAGATAAAGGGCGTCCTCAGGGAGAAGACCCACACAAAAAGGAGTTTCTTCAACGGGATAAATATGATGCAAGGACTGCGGTTTAAAGGGGCCAACAAGCATTCTGAGTACAGGAGTTTTATTCAAACTCCGCAGAGGCCTCTTCACTAGTAGTGTCATTGTCATTCTAAAATTTGCTAAAGCACATCTTTCCTTTTATGGAAATTGAATGAGAAGCAACGTCCTCTGAATCTTTGTATGTGGCTTTTACTCACTCAAAGCCACAAATGCTCTGCATACCATTAGGACAGTTGTTTTTCTCATTCATCCTGTGGGTGAATACTTACGATCTCCAAAATATAATTACTTACTCTTGCTTTTTAGTGGTCTTGTTTATAATGTGCAGTGCTTAGAATTGTGAGATCGTACTCTGAGGAATAATTCTGCTAAGGTTTAATTATTTTTGTCTTCAAGAAAACGTATTGCTGTATACAAGCATCTAAGATTAACATCGATTAAGGCTGTTTCAGGCCAGTGTTCCCCAAACACACGTTTGTATTTCAAAAAATAAAAATAAAAATAAAAATAAGAGAGCATCCGGTGAGGTAAGAGACTGTCACAATTCAGACCTAAGACAGCTGCCCTTCTGCAAGAAAACCTCATCCAGCGACCAGGCCGGGAGGGAGCCTGAGTTCCAGCTGGAGGCAGGCGGGCTCCCACTGAGGGGAGGCTCCGTCGCCCAGCTCCGTGAAGCCCCAGCGAAGTCCCAGCGAGCCCAGTCTGCTGCCACAGCCATCGCCACGATCCAGCACTCAGGCTGTGGCTGTGATGCGCTCGGCCAGCGCGAGAGCGAGAGCGGTGTTCTGTTTTTCTTTTCCACAGAAATGAGACCCAAGTCCTCACTGCTGCTTAAAATTCTTGGGTTGACATTGTGGTCCCTATTCTCAGATAAATCCCAAGTAGGTTCGTGCCCTCTGTTGGAGGGTTTCGAAGTTCATGTGTCAACTTTTAGGGGATTGGCCAAGCCATGTCTGGTCATTTCTTTTTTGATTCTCTTAACTCTCCTTTCCTGAGTGTTGGTTTCTTAGTGAACAGCGAGATCACTGTCTGTCTTCCCAGTAAAGACAGGTAGCTCGTTCTGCATCTGGCAGCTCAGCAGCTCGACCCCCCTCACTCCTTATTGTTTTCTGGACACGTAGTCAAAGGTTTCTTGGCTCCGGGTGTCACGAAGGCGTTGCATTTGGCTAAAAACGGAAAATGTCTTGAAGTAGATTCACAGAAAACAATTTGAACTAGTTCCTTAGATATATGTGTTTGTGTTTTGCAATGATTACTGGCTTGTGGATACTAAAGAAAAACTTCAAATTATCTTATTTCAAAATATAATTGAAGTTACTGATTTTTTAAAAACTTGTCTGTTCTATTAGAGTATTTGGTGGAGAAGCAAAGTAAAAAGTCATTGCAGCTCCTGGTACTTAGAAGAAATTCCTTAATAAAAAATTAAAGAGCTCTTGAGTAGTTAATGCATATTAAAAAATCCCTAAATAGATTATATTGAAAAAAGCCTAAAATTGCAGGGCTTGAGATTCATGGGGACAGATTCAGTTGGGGCAGGCTAGCTATAGTAGGTGAGACCTGAGCTAACCATTTAAAAGGAGTTGGGCATAGAGATTAAATAAATTAAGTAAGTAAAAATATTTAAAAAAATATGGGGGGGGGGCCCTGACTGGTTCAGTCAGTGGAGTCTGCAACTCTTGATCTTGGTGTTGTGAGTTCAAGCCCCATCATAGATGTAGAGATTACTTTAAAAATAAAATCCTAAGTAAGTAAATCTTTAAAAAAAGAAGAGGAGTAGATATTGGCTTGTGGGGATGAGGCCAGGCTTGCCCAAGAAGGCAAGGCCACTGGGGAGCAGTGGGTATGCCCAGCCCAGGACACTGTCTGGTGGGATGGAGAGCCATCTCTGAGGGGGTGGGAATAGTGACTGGATATAGAAACGTGGGACCAAACTTGGAGAACTTTAAATCCATAAAAGTTTTGTTTTGTTCTCGTGTAGAAAAAATCATTAAGATTTTCAGCAAGCGTGTAAAATATCTAATCCTGTTTTATTTTTGAAAAACCAATCAGGTGACCGTAGGGAAAAATCATCTTGTAAGCAAAGGACTGGAAGAAGCAGGCTGTTGTAAGCCAGGAGGATATGTATCCATCCTGACGTCAGTGGGCATAAAATAGATTGGACAAAGCAGGAGACCTTTGGAATAGAAGTATAGTTGGTCCAACCCGCATCTGGTCTCAGTCCAGTCTGGCCCTCCGCTGTCTCTGGACCCGTCCAGCAGCAGAGCCTGATGGCTTCATCCTTCGACCGAGCTGCTGTTTTAGAACTGCATTCTAAAACAGAGCTTCATGTTGATGTTACTTTCTGCATAAACAGAACAGTATGTTTGCCTGTTGTCAGCTGCTTTCTGAATCGACACATGTCATTTGTTCCAGCTTAGCTAATATAAACAATTGTTGTATATTTTAAGATACTTTTATAAAGAGATAAAATTTAGCCCTTAATTAATCCATTTATAGACGTGAAATGCATGAAGCATATGTACACCAAAGCTTGTTATACACTGGGTGTCGTGTGTATGTGATCTGTTTATTTCATTTAGGTTTTTGGGCCATTTATATGCTGCAGAAGCCCTCATCTCTCTGGACAGGATATCTGATGCCATTACTCACTTGAACCCCGAGAATGTCACTGATGTTTCCTTGGGCATCTCTTCAAATGAACAGGACCAAGGTTCGTGAGGACACATTTGGTCAGAACTGGTCACCATTTCCACGCCCTTCCTGTTGTAACTCAGGATGTGTGGAAATTTAAGGGCACAGTTGGAAAAGGAAGGAGATTTTAGGTTGGCCGTCTACAAATTTGGCTGTACTTACTTTGTAGTAATTGTTTGCTGGGTAGATCTGGGAGTTGATTATCATATGGTCTAAATGCTCATTATAGAGGGGTGCCTGGCTGGCTTAGTTGGTAGAACGTGCAACTCTGATCTCGGGGTCATGAGTTCGAGCCCCGTGTTGGATGTAGAGAGTACTTACCAAAAAGAAAAGAGAGACTCTTTTAAATCAGTTTTCACTTTTGAAAGCATGGTAGTATTAGAAAAATTTGTTTTGTTTTGAAACGTTTGTGTGTATTTATTTTGAGAGAGCGTGTGTGCATGAATGGGAGCCGGGCACAGAGGGAGAGAGAACCCCGAGCAGGCTTCACGCTCAGTGCAAAGCCCAACCCCGGGGCTTGATCCTGCAGCCTGCAAGATATCAACCTGAGGCATTATCAAGAATCTGACACTTAGGGGCACCTGGCTGGCTCAGTGGCTTGAGCGTTTGACTTCAGCTCAGGTCATGATCTCAGTGCAAGAGTTTGAGCCCCGCGTTGGGCTCTGTGCCAACAGCTCAGGGCCTGGAGCCTGCTTTGGATTCTGTGTCTCCTCTCTCTCTGCCCCTCCCCTGCTCGCTCGCTCTCTCTCTCTCTCTCTCTGTCTCTCAGAAATAAATAAACATTAAAAACATTAAAAAAAGAAAAAAAAAAGAATCTAACACTTAACCGACTGAGCCACCCAGGCACCTCTAGAACGATTTGTTTTGAGTCTCATACTGTATTTTTCTCTTTGGAGGGATTCAGCAGTCCAGGGAAAAGTAGAAAGCATTCAAAAGTGAGTTTTAAATCATGGCTAAGTTTTTAAGGAAGCAGGCATGGGGGGGGGGGCTACCTGCTGGTACCCTCCGGTAGAGCCTCCCGCAACATACTGAGAGATTGCTTCGATAGAGTGGATTTTCCATTTCATAAACAGACTAGGTTTCTAGAAAATACGCTGTGTTGTCCTACGCCCTCAGGTTTGTTTTCTTGTCTTTGTAGGATCGGACAAAGGTGAAAATGAAGCAATGGAATCCTGTGAGTAAGAAGTTTCGTAAATACTTAAAGTAGCCTGGCTCACATCCCAAAGATGTAGACTCAAGCCTTCTGTGTCCTTCATTTGTCAGCCTAAAAATAGGGCTGCGCTCTATTCTGCGCAGCCGCTGGGGCGGTCGATTGGGTGGCACTCTTGCCCTTGCCCTTGCCCTGGCCTCTTCAGCACGGTCCGCGCTCTTTTTCCCCAGCTGGGAAGCGGGCTCCCCAGTGCTACCCCAGTTCCGTCACCTCTGCCAGGACCGTGATGCTGTTCAATCTCGGCAGCGCCTACTGTCTGCGGAGCGAATACGACAAGGCTCGAAAGTGTCTGCACCAGGTGAGGCCAGCGAAAGGTTTGCAGTCTGTGGGTCTTGTTGCTGAGTTTGAGGCTCTGGTCAGTTTGTTAAAAATCAGAATATTACTTTCCCAAGCTTAAAAATACCCTTGCGAGGTAAACAACCGATCAGCTATTGAAAATGAACTAGGCATTTACTGGAGAGTTCTTCCTGATGGTTTTAATAATTAAAATTTCAAAAGACTGGAAACCAGTGTAAATAAGGGATCATCTGAATAATGGTGCATCCATATAGCCGAACACATGCAGCTGTAAACTCTGTGTTCCAAAATGATGACATATCCGAGACTTGCTAAGTGAAAGGACCTTTTGTATGTGCATAAAAGAGCTGTCGAAGGACACGCTAGAAGCTGCAGAGACTGGTCATGGTGGCAGGGTACGAACTGTGGGGCTGGAGCACTAAAGCAAGAGACTTCAGACCGAGAGCTGGCAGCCTGTCCCTGAAATGCACCCCTGAATCCTACCGCTGAGATGGTGCGTCATCACTAGGACCCCGGGAAGGTTTTGATTGAGCCTCTTTAGGATTCCCGCCCATCCCCGGATGAGTCACGGACCCTTACCTATAGAAGGGGAAGATGTATCACCAGTGGCAGCTCCAGAGGGATGTCACAGACTCAGAAAGGGGTAATTCCTCAAAAGGATAATCATTCAGCAAGTGTCTGAGCACTTACTTCTCAGTAGGCCACGGGAATAAGACAGTAAACAGGTAGGCATGCCACGACCCTGCCTAAGAAGGGAATTGCAAGGTCAGAGCAATGCAGAATTCTAAGACTTCAAATACAGAGAGTTTGTGCCAAATGGTATATTCACCAGCAGCACGTGAGAGGGCCCACGTCCCTGTATGCTTGTCGGGGGAACTGACATTGAAACTGAACCTGTTCTCCAGAGATAATGGTGGCTCCTGGAAATTTCCTAGGAAGTCCACCATATTGTGTATAGCATTGAAGAACCTTACCGTGCCAAAATAGCCAAGAGTGATATTTAGTTAACTTAGTGGCGTCTCGTCGGCACTTCTGATCCCAAATCAGAAAAGTTAAGTGATGGGACTGTCCAGGGAAACGTGTGTGCTGTCATCTCGAAGTTGAGTCACACAAGTTGACGGGGAAGGAGTTGAAAAACTCACTGCTCTTAGTGGCCGGGCCAGGGTATTTCACAACCCTTCTGAGAGTGCCCATGGACCCCAGTGGCTGGAGCAAACAGGGCCTTTGATCCAAGTTGCAGAGTGCACAGTCTAGCTCAGGTTCTCGTGCAGCAGGTGGCCAAGGCGGCTGCCATGCTGGGAGAGGCAGATGGGTCAGGGCTGGCTCTGGGTCTGAAGGGGCGGGGGTTGTTTTGGTCCCTTGGGGTTTAGGTTAATCCAGTGCCTGAACCTGTGTTAATTGGAGGCCCGCCCTGCCTGGGAGGGCAGGGCCGTGCTCTGCGCAGATGGTTCCGAGGGTCCCTGCCCACCACTAGCCTTTCTGAACGGCCAGTAAGCACAGCACCATCAAGTCTCATAAAATTGCTGCTGTGAATTCTCATACCTGCGGGAAAGCTGCAAACTGTAGTCCATGCAGAGAACGATAAATGACCTGCGGTAACTAGCCACCTGGAGGCAAAGTGGACGTTGCAGCACCCACAGCATGCTGTGAAGAGGCTCTTGCCCGTATGAGGCTTGGCCCGAAGTGTGAACTCTGTTTCCTGAACTGAGTGGTTGCCCCTCAGGGAGGTGGTGAGAGGAACAAAAGCCTCCCTGCTTGACTCGTGAGGAACTTAGGTCGTGTGCCCTGGGTGCGAGTCCCTGCTCACCCGAGATTTCTCCTGGGGCTGCCAGGAGCTGACCTTGTGCAAGCTTCTGGTCCCCCAGACGTCTCCCATCTCTACAGCTGGGCCTGCGAGTCCTGTCTCCCCATTTTCTGCTTCTCCGATTCCATTCTGAGAGAGAGAGGACTGAGGCGGGCGCCTCCCCGAAGCTCTCCGTTCCCCAGAAACCTATTTTTCTCTGTGTATCCACGGTGCATTCGCTCTCCTCTCTCCCTAGCATTTGGGGAAATCTGTTTGGATTACTGGTCAGCCGTTTGCACGCCTGTGGTTCTCAGGATGGGTCCGTGTCTTAGCCGCACGCCCATGTCTGGTCAGGAAGCGTTTGTACGAGTGCACTTTCCGATCAGGGAGCAGGCAGAGCAGCCTGGCACCAGAGCACCAGAGACTGGATGGGGAAATGTGAGTTGATAGTGCGGGTGGGGAAAGGGCTGCAGCCCAGAGAGGCCCAGCCTGAGGAAATAGACCTCTGGTCTCGGCACGGCTGACCCAGAGCAAGCCCGGCGTCCTTTCTCAAGACTGGTCAGGGAGAAACTGCTAGCTGGAGATGTGACCCTCAGGTCCAGAAAAGGACAGCGTGTTGCTTAAATTATTTTATTTGACAAAGTTGTGCTATTTCAGTCCTCAAGAATGAGGACATCGAAAATGCTTAGTGGTATGCTTGTTTCCAAGTTTTTGGTGTCCCCCCTCTTGCCCAGAGGCTGCAGTGTTGGAGGCAGAGGAGAGAGAGAATCCCAAGCAGACTCCACACTGTCAGCACAGAGCCCAACACAGGGCTCAGACTGATGAACCATGAGATCGTGACCTGAACTGAAATCTAGAGTCGGATGCTTAACCAGCTGAGCCACCTGGCTGCCCCTGTGTCACCAACTTTTTCTTTTTAGTTTGAGTTCTTACCGCTTAGGTTGGGAACTTGGGGCCTACGATACTGAGCTGTTACTTAGGAACACAAATGGACATGCACATTTGAATATAAATGCAACGATGTCTAGAGTGAAAGCCACCAACAGACCTGCACCAGTGAGTGACTGGAGTGTAGAATGAGAAATGTCTGACATCCTTCTTAAAACCAAATAGAGTCAAGACATGGGAGAAAAACCCCAAGCAGGCAAAAACCACGAGGAAAGAAAAGCATTCCCCTATTAAGAATTCATGATGGGGGCGCCTGGGTGGCTCAGTTGGTTGAACGGCCGACTTCGGCTCAGGTCATGATCTCACGGTCTGTGGGTTCGAGCCCCGCGTCAGGCTCTGTGCTGACGGCTCGGAGCCTGGAGCCTGCTTCGGATTCTGTGTCTCCCTCTCTCTCTGCCCCTCTCCCACTTGTTCTCTCTCTCTCTCAAAAATAAATAAAATGTTAAAAAAAATATTTTTGAAAAGGAATTCCTAGGTAAGGAAAATCATCGAACTAAAAATTACAGGTGTAGTTGAATCTGTAGGGACAAGGACAGATGTCAGAGCAGAAGTGTAGTAGCTCCTAGGAGCTGCTGTGAGAAGGAGCTGCACAAGTTTGCTAACTTGCCATTGGTAGGCTTTTTTTTTCCTTCTCTCGGCATTCCTTGGAGTTTGTCTCAAGCGGTTGGTTTTTCATGGGGGTCTTTTCTGTTTTGAGCAAAGGCGGCTTCGATGATCCACCCTAAGGAGGTGCCCCCTGAAGCCATCTTACTGGCAGTCTACCTGGAGCTGCAAAATGGTAAGTCCGTCTTCTCCCTAATTAGGACTGGACCCTTTCAAAGAGCCCCAGGTTTTTGGTATCTGGTTTATCTCTTTGAATTTGAAACTCGGCCTTCCTTGAACATATTACCCATCAAGTTCTTCTAGGGAAAAAAAACCGAAGCTAGGGAGTTTTTGGTGTCTTACAAATTCCTGCTTCTTGCGAGTTAGCCATATCTGCTTCTTTTTTTAATCTGTGAAAAGGCAGGGAAGCATAGCTTTCTGACAGCTAATTATGGTTTAATCCCTGCTAATGAACCTTTCTCTCAGGCAGCCCAAATGAAGTGAGAACATGAGTCAGGATGCCAGTTGCTAAGAGTTGTACACTGTAGCATTTGGAACATAGATGTCAGTAGTGAGTTTTACACTGAGCCAGTTTTGCCGGAATCATCCAAACCTAAATCCAGGCCATACCTCTGAGCACATACAACCCTTGAGGACGTGGCTTCTGGGAAGAACGGCTGCAGGCCCTATAGAAGACAGCGTGAAGCCGAGAGGAGACCTGAAACAGACATACTAAGAGTTCTAAGTCGTGTCTCCTTTTGATCGTGGGAATCCTTACATGGTTCCTTTCTTTTTATAGCTTTTGCCAGCATTTAAGTGCCTGGTACCCAGCTGGCCTTGGCTTCCCGAAAGGTGTGATTAGGGCTGGCCCACTGGTCCCAGAGCCCTCTTCCATGCAGTCTACCTTCGGAGACCAGTTCTCAAGCTGGGCTGTATCTTAGAATCACTGTGGGGCTCTTGCCCAGGGCGCACCCCGTGTCTCTGAAATCAGTTTGTGGGGATGGGACACATGTGTTATGTGGCTTCAGGGTGCAGCAACGGCGGCAGACTGCTGCTCTCCTGGACCACCTTTGGCTCCCTTGCACGCTGCTGATGGCTCGCTTTGTGCGTGATGGTGTTTATGCTGCTTCGTTAATGGGAAGTGTTTTTATAGGTAACACCCAGCTGGCCTTACAGATCATCAAAAGGAATCAGCTGCTTCCTGCGGTGAAAACACTGTCTGAGATGAGAAAGAAGCCAGTGTTCCAGCCTGTCCACCCGGTCCAGCCCATCCAAATGCCGGCTTTCACTGCACACAGAAAGTGACATTTTTGCTCTCAGAAAACTGTTACTTGAGACCAGGGGGGTATTTACAGGCCTCTTCAGTTGTATCACGGCAGAACGAATAAAAGAAAGATGGTGAAAGGTGCTAGTTTCGAAGACACGCTTTTGAAACGATTCTAACCCCTGGTTTTCTTTTTGCAGGAAGCTTAGTTAAAATCAAGGGTTCACAAACTCATTTTCATCTGTTTTTCTTCAGTCTTTTTTTTTTATTAAATTTTTTTTTTTCAACGTTTATTTATTTTTGGGACAGAGAGAGACAGAGCATGAACGGGCGAGGGGCAGAGAGAGAGGGAGACACAGAATCGGAAACAGGCTCCAGGCTCTGAGCCATCAGCCCAGAGCCCGACGCGGGGCTCGAACTCACGGACCGTGAGATCGTGACCTGGTTGAAGTCGGACGCTTAACCGACTGCGCCACCCAGGCGCCCCAGTTTTTCTTCAGTCTTAAACTGTGAGCCATTATGTGATGTATCTGTGTCATGGGCAATTAAAACACGGTCTTACCAGAAGAGTCTTGCACGGTTTTGCTGTTCTTGCAGCCGCTGGACCGTCTTAGCCCCTGGGGTTTAGCGCTCAGGCTTCCGAAGCTGCCACAGCTGTCGGTGGATGAGCAGCCGACCCAGCAGCTGGCCTGGGGGCACAGAGGAGGGACACCGATGCGTCTTCTGCCTCCTTGGGACCGAAAGGGCCAGAAAATGCACAGGAAAACCCACGGGGCCAGGAAAATTGGCTTCAGAGGAGACAACCGGGCTGATAGGAATCACTTGCTTCAAGATTAGAGATGAAGAGCAAGCCGGTTCAGGGCACGGGTTGTGTTCATCTCCCCTGCGCCCTCGGGCAGAGGCCCCGCTTCTGGAGGCTGTCAGCAGGGAGCCCCAGGTTCATTGCTAAGCCCTGTGCAGGTGCAAACAAAAAGTTAAAAAATTGCATCTTTCTGGGGGGCCTGGCTGGCTCAGTCGTAGAGCATGTGACTCTTGATCTCGGGTTATAAGTTTGAGCCCTGTGTTGGGTGTAGACATTACTTAAAAGAATAATTTTTTTGGGGCGCCTGGGTGGCGCAGTCGGTTAAGCGTCCGACTTCAGCCAGGTCACGATCTCGCGGTCTGTGAGTTCGAGCCCCGCGTCGGGCTCTGGGCTGATGGCTCAGAGCCTGGAGCCTGTTTCCGATTCTGTGTCTCCCTCTCTCTCTGCCCCTCGCCCGTTCATGCTCTGTCTCTCTCTGTCCCAAAAATAAATAAACGTTGAAAAAAAAAAATTTAATAAAAAAAAAAGACTGAAGAAAAACAGATGAAAATGAGTTTGTGAACCCTTGATTTTAACTAAGCTTCCTGCAAAAAGAAAACCAGGGGTTAGAATCGTTTCAAAAGCGTGTCTTCGAAACTAGCACCTTTCACCATCTTTCTTTTATT